TAAATCTTCAAACATCAATTGAACATTCAATTGGAATTGGTAACAAATTTAATAAATGAAGAGCCAATTTAACATATATATTAAATGATTTTCGTATTGGTTCATCTGTATTTTCTGAATATGCTTCGATTTCTTCTTTGTATACCTTTATCAAATATATTAATTTAATTATTTTTAATTAATAAAACATACAACAAAATGACCATTTGTTCCATTATTTAATCTTAAAATTCGATCAGTTGTTGATTCATTAGCCCAATCAAATGATATGAAATCATTGATTTTATCATTATAATCATCTCTGAAATTAAGAATATTCATTTTTTTTAAAAAAAAAAAACCATCATTTATTCGAAAAATATTATTTAAAAACTGCTTCACTTGAATGACACTTATCTATCAATACTCAACCGTTTCATAAAGTTCTTTTAAGAATTTCAAACAAGAATATAGATCAGTTCCTTTTTCATATTCTACAAGTTCGTCTGATTATTCTAGGATTTACGACTATTAAAGTCCGCTTCACTTGTTTCACAAATATTTCTTTACAACCTATAGAAGGCTCAGAATGATGACAAAACAAGTTGCATCTTCCTTTTCAAAAACTTGTTAAAAGATCAAATGATACTATTCTAGAACTTACACAATTAGAAAACTTGAGGTTAACATATAGATTTTTCTTAAACACATCAAATTAATCGTTGAAAACAAAGAGAAAAACACTTGAGAAATTTCAGGTCCAAAATAATTTAAAAAAATGTTAAATGTATTCAAAAAAAAAAATTTTTGTCTATTGATGTTTGAAACTCGAATAAAACTTTTACTAAATCCTTCACTCGAAGATGTTCATGATGGAATGTCAGGTTCGAACAATACTGTACATTCACGATCATGTACGACTAAATTATGGTAGTTTGAGACCTGGAAACGGTAACCGTATTACGACTCTATTATAGTAAGATAAGACTTCGTAAACGGTCCGCATTCGATCACTGCTTATGCACCATATTATGAAAGTACTGTATACAGTAACCGTTTACATGCCGTAACAACATCGTATTCATGTCACACAATGATGTACGTTCATTAACGTATTCTATATACGGTGACAATACAGTCGTAAAACATCGACCTGATTTACGGTGAAATACGGCCCCTAAAGGACGATCGTAACAACCGACTAAGGTGACAGTGCCATTTTATTTTGTACTACGACAACGCGGCAGATGTTTTATTTTACCAATCCTATGACGACAGCGACAACTTTTTCTATTGTTCATTGTGTCGTGACAGAGGAAGATTATCACTTGCGCTAGACATCTATGCGTTAAGCACTACTTTATAGAAATATGCGTTCCCTGTCATTGATGAAAAAAAAAGAATTAATTTGATGGAACCAAGCTTGCCGATTGTTTTTGGAAGTGAGAGGGATGAAGAGTTTAGCAGAAAGTATCTTCATTCCACTTTTTGGCAGATACAAAACAAAAATGCTAAAAACATCAGCTTTCTGCGAGATTGTTTTTTTGTCGAAAATCATCGTCATATCATTGCGTGCTGAGGATAGAGTTAAGATTGTTAAAACTTTCTTTTTGTCAGGATTTTTCATAAGAACTGTAAAGATATCTTGCAGAAAATTCAACTTTTTTGGCGACAGAAGAATCCCCTCTATTCCCTCCCTAATTGACAACTCTGAATGAAACTACAATATTAATAAATAATATCTTTTTTTCTTCGCATTACTCTACTTACTGTTGAACAGCAAAATAAAGTCTTGGAGTAATTCTTAAATAAAGAAGTTCAATAGGAAGATAATATTCTTGATTAAGATCGATTTTTGCAATACACTTAAATTTATTTGTTTCAACTAAATCAGGATCTAATACAAATAATGGCATTTGTGTTCGATTTGACACCTTTTGTTTTTATCAATAGAAAATAAATTTAAACATAAAATTGAAAGAAAAAAAAAATACTTTAATAATTGAACTAAGAACAACTCTTCTTCTTTCATGATATATTTGTGAATCACAAAGTAATTGAACTGGCCATGAAAAATTTGATGATGGAAATAAATCATAAACTCTTCTCCATGTTTGATTTATATCGACTGTTACTTTTCGATCTTCAATCTATTAAAAAAAAAAAAATATTTTATTTCGAAACAATTTATATTTATTAATCTAACTTGAACATTGAATTGTTGTTTTCTTTTGAGAACTTGTTCAGCAATAGCTGGAAGATGTGTTGCAGATAATCTTTCTT